CTTCAGTGGTGAATGCAGCTATGCTCACCTGTCCTGACCTGCCTCGCCCCCCTTCAACCCTGGCTGGCCAGCAGTGGTGAAGTATGGTCTGCCTCGCCCCCCTTCAACCCTGGCTGGCCAGCAATGGTGAAGTATGGTCAAGCCATCACGGCCAACATGGCATGAGGGGAGACCTTCGTCCTGCAGTGAATTGACAAAGGGGCTGTACCATTACTAGACCTTTTTGTAGTAGTAGTAGACAATTAGGCTTTGCCATATGCAAAGATGGGTGCGCGCAAAAATAAATCATTGGCCGGTAACAATGTTCATCGCGCACTTTCAGATGCGCTCCTGCGGCCGTCTGGAACGCTCTTCCTTCCAATAGTAGGAAGCCACTGGAGATATGCACTTTTAAATCTAGGCTGAAAACTCATTTCTTTAGTACAGTTTTTTTGTGTTCAGTTTATTGTCAATCCCCCACAACTCTGATTCGCGCAGTGGGCTATGTACGGTGCGAAAGAAATTCTACATGCATATATATATACTTTTGACTTACGACGCTAAATAGTCATAGACTTCATTGCCCAAAGGATACCCTTGCACATTTCAGCAATTTCCAAGATTAGACGTTAATGTGTCAAAGCAATAGCTATACTTGTGATCGGTCTGGAGTGTCTAGAACCAGAGTGCTTCTTATGCCTGTGGAGTGTGAGTTGCACCGTCTCACACACACACACGGCACTAATTGTCTTCAACAATGACTCCCGTTGATCATTTGCTGCTGATATAACAATAACCATTCGGCAATCAGGCGGCCACCACGTGGGTGCATCTGCCGAAGAAGCCTCTTGGAACTCCGATGCTGCTCCGGTGCTCATGGCTGTCTTTCCCACGGCAGATATCTGCGGCGCGTGGACACACACAACAAGAAAGTTATCGAATATATCTATCGTATCTACATCATTAGATTTCCTTTGCCAGTACCAAAATATAATAATAGGGTTTTTCCCCTTTTTTGTGGCAACAAAACTGAAACCTTTTTACATTAACCACAATACTTGAGGTCACAATGCAAACAAAAAAAGAAAGCCGTCTCTGGTGTGGACCAATCAATTTCAAGGACAATGCATATTTTATCAGAGTGTGGTTTTTGTTTGCATTTTTACCACAAGTATTGTGGTTAATGCACACATGATTCCTCGTAAAACGGTTTCAGTTTTGTTGCCAGAAAAAAGGGGAAAATCCCTATTAATATATCTATCGTAATTGCGTTTTATCTGTTCTCTTCGCACGTAGAGGTAAACTATGTGGGCTGTTGTGTTTTGTTTTTGCTCGGAGTCAAGTATCATGATGATGTCTTCCAACTTCCAAAACGCCTGGCCAGTGCCTAAAGAGGAGGTGGCTGTCTCGCATTGGTGCGCGTGAGAAGTCTCATACATGCAGGGCTGCCCCTTGACCAGTTTTAGCCTACTGGCAATGCATCGGTGGACGAAGGCTGTCCCATGCTGTGTCGGTCGTGGGGGTTGTTTGACCATACTTCACCATGCCGGTTATTGAAGGGAGAAGATCGGGGGGGGGGGGGGGGGTGGGGGAGATACCACTTACCATGGCCGGGAATATAATTCATGTTTCCGAGTTGACGTTGCGCTAACTACTGCACCGCCACCCCTTCCCACTATAACGGTGTTGGTACGCCTACACATTTAATCGAGAATCTGTCACAGTCTAAACTAATGCATAGTTCATTATAACGATGCTCGTGGAGGGGTATATCTTCTAAACCGCATCGCCACGCAAAAAACAAAAGCAAGTCCCTGTTTGACCCTACATGTCTCTTGTCGATAAATTAGACTGATGCGCCATTGATAAACAAACCACAGCATTAGACAACAACAAAAACAACAACAAAAACTATGCTTGGAATTTTTTTTTTTTAAATTGACCGCATCATTGCGATTGATGAAATATAATAACTGAATGAAATCATTATTATTTGTGCCTCGTACTGCTGTTTGTTTGCACCATGCTTTGCGATGGCTACACCAGAGTCTGCCAAAACGTGCGGCGTGGAAACGCTCTTAAGAGGAGGCCACGCGTCCCCCGCTGGGAAATTGTCGCGAAAGCCGCCCGGACTTTCCGGTGAAGTATGGTTCTAACCACGTGACAAAAACCTCAACGAGCGGTGCAGCCGGTGGGTGCAGTGCCGGATGACCCTCGTAGCAAAAGTAGCTACACATTTGTAGTAGCTACGGGCCCCGCACTTTCAACGGCCCCGCGCTAAATGCTTTCAAGCTATCAATTCCGGTTCAGTGATTCTGCACTTGCTCTATTACTATAGTACTATACCGCCTTCAACTTTTATGAACGACTGGGTGTTTAAGGTTAGCGATTTGTCGTATTATCTGGCTGTGTAGCAAATAAAAAAAATACAATTTACTATGCAAGTTAAATATTTTGTGTTTTAATATTTACGTGTTTTTTTTTTCGTATTTAGGGCCCCTTTATAACATATGCTACAGGCCCCGCACTAGCTTAATCCGGCACTATTTGGGTGTGCTGGAGGGAGCTGACCCCCTCCCCACCTCACCTTGCTGAAGGGATCAGCCCCTCCCCCCCTGATTTAACTTTCAGAGTCAAGTCATTTGTATGCATGCATGTTGAGCTTCTTTCGCACCGTACATAGCCAACCGAGCTAATCGGAGGTTGTATATTTGACACGTGTATATATTTGATACACAAACTGCTCATGGGTTTCCGCAATGAAGTGCTCTGGGTAATGAGACACGAATAAATCAACCGTAGCTCTGTGTCGCACAAACGCTAAGTACATGTCTCACTCAAACCAGCAGCACTTGTCTAAGCATGGAAACGCTGCTTCCATGCGTCTGGGGCTCATCAGCGTAGTGTAACTGTCACACGTGCTCGACAAATGCTGCTGGTTTATCGGATACGCATAAAGAATTGGCAATTATTCATCCAATTTATTCCACAGCATCTCAAAGTTAACTACGATTACACGTGCAATATAAAACATCCGGGTTCGACGTGGAAGAAAGAGAGCGCAGACATTATCCACGGCTCGGGGAGACGAGCAGCACAGGGGGAGACGGTGACCTGGGCACCACAGACCATCAAGCACGATTCACAGGGGGGGGGGGGGGGGTGTCTGTGGAACACACGGCTTGTCATTGGCGAGGAGTGGCCTCTCCCTCTCTCTCGCTCTCTCTCTCTCTCTCGACATCACGGTGATGTCGACGCCACCAGAAATAACAATCGCAACGGAAATCGCAAAGTGCTCTGCTGCGGCGGCACATTCGGTGTGGAGGGCACCGATTTGCCTCGTACGCATCTCGCACGCAAAATGCACAGCGCCCGTCGGGGGTCTGCCGTCTTGCCCGCAAGCCTCGCTCACGCAACATCTCTCCCCGTAAAGCGTCGAAGCGAAACAAATAAATGGGGCCCGGGACGTCGCGTCACGACGGTGTTTGCCTTCGGCAAAGTTTCTTCCGAAACGACGCGGGGGAATTTTTGTTTGTTTGTTGCGTGTTCAGCACAAATTAACTCTACCTCTCCGTCACACTTCTGACTCACGTGTGACCCTGCACGGTTGCATACTTATTTATTTTCATTTCAATATCTTATTGACAAAGGGGGGGGGGAGGGGGGTGCGAATAAATGACGAAAGAATGCGGCCGCACGTGGGTGGCGCACAGCGTCGGTTTGGTGGGGCTCTCTCTCGGTGGCCTGGCCTCATTAGCATCACGTAGCAAAGGTCTCCGAGTTTCTCATCAGGAACTCTCATTATTCTCACATCTCACCCATTCGAATGTGCGCGATTAAAAGACTGCGCGCGTATTGCGGTTCGCGTGTCGTGCTCGTTAGGGGGCATCGTTGCGTCGATTTTTTTTTTTGACAAAGGCATTCAATTTGTACCGTTGCTTTTCATAATATACATTCAGTTTCATTTATTAGGGATAACCCTGTGAGCCATGCGGCTCTTGACTCGGGTGCAACCGCAACAAAAAAAAAACACGAACAAGAAAACATCTTAAAGTGACCGCACGCAACAGAAAAATCCAGGAAAAATCAGCAAAGTCTTCCAGAAAAAAACACCGTATTTCAACGCTGTGTGCAAAAATCCCAGTGGGATGCAAGTCAAACAACAACAACAACCATAAGACAATGTAGATTGAAGTTATCAGGCTAACTCTGTATTACAACAAACAAACATGGCTAAACCAAAACGTTTTCAAAATCACCAAAATAAAGCTATAAAAACAATGTAACAGTGATCATAGGAATTTGTTGCGGTTGTACCCATACATGCACGTATGTGCGTATGTACGCATATATGGAGGGCTTAATTTCAGCTGGACCTGCCGCTGAATGTGCCGTGTGGCGAGCAACTTGGAGACGCCCCGCTAAAATAATTGTCGATGGCATTACTGTGCATGAAAAACGGCATTTTAATTCAAAGCCCCTGCACGTGTCCCACCAAATCCTCCCTCCCCTGGTCCACCTTCTCCAACAAAGTCTGATTTGCTTCGACATTAATGCTGAAGCCGTACAGATATCTCAGTGGGGCAATCTACAAGGCTTAATTTCGGCTGGAACTGTCCGGGGCTGAGCTGCAGAAAATATATTTCCCTGCCACCTACCCCCTCCCCCACCCTCTGCTGTTGTGAACCGAGGGGTGGGGGTCTATGAGAAATATTCCATGATAATTTTAATCTCCTATAATGAAATATTTAAAATATATATGCACACAAAAAATGTTCGCGTTAATTTCATTCACAATTCCAACCCGTCTTGTAGACGCTGAAAGTCCAGACTGTTTTATTGATTTCTCCAAGTGATTTGTTGAAAATTGCGCAGAGTGGACAAAAGCCCTGCTGTGACCTCTCAATTTGCCCCCCAACACATTCGGTTTTGTTTTCCCCCTCTGTGGGGAGTGGCACGGTGTGAAAAATCGAGTTCTCACCACGTGCGCTCGCGTGTCCGTGTTTTCCTTTCGCTCGCAGGGTGCCTGCCCTGCCTGTTAAGAATCTGGGTGGCTCTGGCCCAATAAATCCAGCCTTGGCGGGTGAGTGTTCTCATAACAGAATGATCGTCATTTTTACAGATGTTTAATGGGACATTTGTCTTATCGTGTGCGTGCAGGTGTCGGTGTGTATGTGTGTGTATATTTGAGGGCTGCTGCCATGGTATAATGTTTACCGCATTGAACTTGCAATGCAGAGGTCGCCACTTTAATTCGATCGGTTTAAGTAATGGTGCACTTTTCCTAACCCCCCCCCCTCTCCCCCGACTGCCTCTATTCACCCAGCGCTATAAATGGGTAAGCCACAGCCAGTCAATAGACATGTCGGGTGTGGTGTGGTAAACAGTCGGTGCCCCCCCCACCCCGCCTCTTCCCTAGTGGGTGGTCAACGTCAAAAAAATCATCTTTAGAAAGGCCGCGTGAATGTCCCCCTCCAGCGGAGACCCGTCTGCCGTCGGTGGATTGAAAAAACGGGGCCATTTGCCTGTACACACATACCTGCAAACTTGAACCTCGCCGGCTCACCTCGTAAACGGCTTCGCCCTTTTAGGTGAAAAAAAAAAAACCTACACGGCGCAATAAACAATGACGTGGTCCGATGAGAGGCGTAAATACGAAAAAAATCGAAGCCTTCTCCATCTGGAAGAGATCATTAACATCCCCAATTAACGCGGCGATAACGGCCCGCGCGAAGGACGTTTACTGTAGGCATCGTGGGAATGTGCGTGGGAGCGTACAAGTTCAGCTTTCTACAGCCCGCTTTCACATCTATGCACGAGCTACGAGCTCGTGGTCGCGTGAGCATTGCGCGAATGTCGCCGATGCCCAAGCTGCCAGGTGCTTACACACCCCGTGGCGCTGGAGTGGTGTTCAGAAGCATCGCGGTAAAAAAATAATAATAACTTGGCTTTCGGTTCATCGATGTGTGCATGTTGAACTTCATGGTCGAGGTTTACTGGGGTCAGATCGCGTAAATACAAAATGTGTCGTTAAACCCTGCCACCGCCCGACACAGCCAATTGGAAAGGTTTGTGAAGTAGACAAACCATGCCAATTCGTTACTAGTACAGCACACCGGCGTGTTGGAAAGTAAAAGCCACAACATTTACAATTCGAGTACAGTGTTTCGCCAGTAATTACAACCAGCATCATCAGGCAACAGACCAAAGATGTGCATAAATCCTCCTCCCGTTTTCTTCGCACTTTACGTCGCCAACCGTGCTAATCGGAGGTGCGCGGGAAGGACAACAAACCAAGCCTCGACTTTTCGGGCATCATCGTCACCATTATCAGAATCCAACCGGGGTGGAGCCTGGGTAGTGCTTTGGATGGGTGACCACGCCACGCAAAAAAAAAATCCAAATGAAGAAGGCATTGCGAGCAGCAGAGCATGGTGGTGGTGTTGTAAAATTGTCATCAGAAGTGGTTAATCCATTCATTTGTGGATGAACGTGTCCCAAAACTGCTGCCATCATCTTTCTTGATATTCAGCTTTTTTAACTCCAGTTATTGAATGGTTGTTGTCATCTTCGTCGTCGTCGTCATTTTGAGCCATGGTTACTCCGCTGCTGGATAAAGGACTCTCCAAGCACGCTGCCATCTCTCGTTGTCCTGCCACGCAAAGGGTCTCATTCACAAGTCATTAATTCATATTCTTAGTTTTTTCGGTAAAGTCACGTTGAAGAGAAACAACAAAATAACAAAATATATATGCCGTTTTCAAAATAAATTTATGCAAACCGACACACCTGATGATGACCGTTTGAGTTATGGTCGAAACGTCGTGAGAATTTTTATTGTTTTATATATATTTTGTTATTTTGTTGTTTCTCTTCAACGTGACTTTACCGAAAAAACTAAGAATATGAATTACTGCAGTCACGAAAGCTTTAAATCAAAATTTAAGTCATTAATTGTCTGGGGTCTCTGAAATATAAACCGCGAATGTGAGCAGCACGTGACGTTCGCTCCCTCTACGATTCTATTCATTGTCACGATTCGGGTGTTTATTTCACAAGAGGTGAATCCTCGATTAATTATTTTCCTGCCCATGCTGTGCAAGTACACTCTGAAGCAGCATATATCTAAAGTCACATCGCCACTGCCATCATCAGTCATCATCTACCCACTGCTGGATAAAGGCCTTCCCAAGCCGTCGCCATCTCGCCAACAGCCAACAGTCTTGCCGATGCAACAGTTTGTCTAGCACCTGGCACACGAACTGATTTCATCGATCCATCTCCCCGGTAGGGGCCATCATCATAATCACTTTAAGATTGTTTTCTTGTTCATGTCTTTTGTTTGTTGAGGTTTCACCCGATTCAAGAGCCGAATGGCTCACAGGGCTATACCAAATAAATAAACCATGAACTATGATCATCATCTTCCCTATTCTAGGGAAGATGATCAGTGATGGAGAATAATGATGGAGTGGCAGCCAATAGGAGGGAGAACATGCCTGAGAGGTTTACCCACCACCGTGGAGATGGAGTGATGAGATAAGCGGACATTGCAAGAGCCAGATGGATCGTTCCATCTGACGGACCTGTTCGTGATGGCAACGGCTTGCTAGGGCGGTGGGGTTGCGGGGGGGGTGATGGGTGATGCCTTCCAGCGCTGACGGCTTTGAGTATCAACGCTGTTTTCTCGCGCGGCCCGGGTGTGTGCGGGGTGGTGGTGGGGTGGTGGTGGTGGCGGTGGGGTGTGTACACCTCTGGCGCAGGCATCACGGGCATCTTGATGTGCGCTGCCGGCCTGCCGGTGTTCCTGACGCGAGCGCCCAAGCCCGTGCTGCACCCGCCCTCGGTCAGCAAGGGGGAGCTGCGCGCCGTGCCCGGCGTCTCGGGCTCCTGCCGCAAAATCAAGAAGAAGCACGCGCGCAAGGGTGAGGCCACGCGCCCACGCCCACTCACGCGCCCACGCCCACTCACGCGCCACGCCCACGCACGCGCCCACGCCCACTCACGCGCCACGCCCACTCACGCGCCCACGCCCACTCACGCGAACGAGCTGCGCGTAAAAGTGGCGGTGGTGTCACGGGTGCGCCGAACCCACAGATCTCGGCAGCCGCCTAAGGGGCCCGTCCATAAATGACGTCACGCACCTAGGGGGAGAGGGGGGGGGGTCAGACATTTGTGACGATGCGTGACGAGGGGGGGGGGTGAGAAATGTGACGTCACATCAAAATGCGCAACTTTTTAAATATAGACAACACGTTCTACTTAATTAAATAGACTTTTTTTATAAATGTTTTCTCCTACAAAATCAGAGTGCAGCGCCACGTTAAAAACGCACTACAATGACGATAGTTTAAAGCGATTTGAAGCATGTTTTATTTTATTTTTTTTGGGGGGGGTAGGGGCAGAGCTTTGTGACGTCATATTTGAGGGGTGGGTCTGACTTTTTGTGACGCCGTGTGACGAGGGGGGGGGTCAAAAATCGTCCAAAATCGCGTGACGTCATTTATGGACGGCCCCTAAGCGCGAGCGGCGGCAGACTGGACGTTTGGGGGGGGGGGGGTGTGGGCGCTGAGCCCTTACGGGGAAGACAAAGACGGCCGGGCAGCCACGGCGTTGTCCACCCACCCTCTGGTATCCCGTGCCAGCCTTGCTAGGTGCTCGCAAACAGCACTCGCCCCAAAAGGCGGCTTAAGGGTACACGGGGTGTGCTTTATCTTTGCACGCGAGTGGCTCCTGAGTGTGTTTACATTCCCTAGGGCGTGCTCACGATTTGTCTGTCAGGGTGTGTACATTAGTGGGTGTATGCTACTGCACAGGAACGGTGAAAACAATAAACTTTCACTGAACTTTTGTCCTTATTCGCACGCGCAAGTGAGAGGTTGACCCGCGAGCCTAAGGCCACTCTGTTACAATACGATAAAATGTGGGTTTTATTTAACGTGCAAATGAAACCACGCCACAAGACGCCCGAATGGAAACGGTGGTCGCCGTTATTTTTAATAGAGGCAGCCGGTCGCAGGCAGAGAGAGGGGGGGGGGGGAAATAATAAAGGTCTTGTGCCTGTGCCTGAGCGGTGGCAGGGGAGTCCGCAGGTCGCACGGCTTGGGGAAGGGAATTCTGAACGTTCAAATGGCCGTCGTGAATGGCGTGCGTGATAATATATCTGCGTGCGTACGCGGCTGCATAAATGTCGGCAAAACTTGAAAAAAACAACACGCACATTTCCGACTCCGTTGTTGGGTGCGATAAGTGGGCGTGATAAGAATTCGCCGCCGCCTTCTCCAAAAATTCAGGGTTGCATTTCAGGGATCACTTTTCTTTTTGGTTTTCCCGGTTTATTTTTTGACCGTCTAGATTTTGTTGATCTATCATTTTTCGCCGGTCTCCTTGGCAAACCTTCGTTATCTCCACTGGCCTAACCGTGAACTCTCTGACTCTCTGTGTGTGTGCATGTGTGTGAGCACGCCGTGCTTTCTCAAAGACGTCGGCGACCGTGACCCAACATTTACCTCCTGTCCACGTATCGTTTGCGTGTCATTTGCGTCGATCGAAACGCATCAATTCCCACGCGCGCGATTCAACGCCGCGTGCCGTGAGCCTTCTTTTTTTAAATGTTTGAATCGGCGAATGGATGCGTCGTTTTTATTCCGCCCGCGATCAGTTTTAAAAAGCGGCACGTCGCCTTTCGCCGATGGGCGACGCCGCGCCGAGACAAAGAGATTGGCCGAGTCAAGCCCACCGTGTGGTCGATGCCGATGTTGGATTGTGGGTTGAATTCTTATTTTTTTGGCCTCACCCGCAGAGACGGAGGCTATTCGGCTAGCACTTGCGTGCGCCTACCACCTTTGGTCTCCGCAAAGATCCCACGTAGTCGCGTCCTGTGAAGGCGATCCTCGCTACACGTTGACGCGAGACCGGCGTTTGCCAACGCTAATTGACGGCGCTCAATTAGCGCCGGGCCAACGATTGCGACCAACGGTTCCATCCACGTGCCCTGACGTTGGCATCTTTACTGGGATGGTACAAAAGTAAATACTACGATTAGAATGATGAATACAGCTATACCTTCACATCCATACCATAGATATTTGTGACGTTGGGTGCGTGAAGCAGGCGTGGCCTCCCACCGTCACCCCTACCACTTGATGTGAGGACGATTGGGTTGTACGCATGACGCAATGCATCTGCTGTAAGTAAAATTATATTAACATTTTCAATAATTTCCGAAGGCAAAATTACATTCCGTCACGAGTGAAAATGTAGTGCATGGAATGGCTGTGCTGTGTGAATGTATTTGTATTGTGTTCTGTGTGTATGGGGAGCGATATTGTTGCTGTTTGCGGTTAAGACACTGCACTATGAACTCAGCAACCAGAATTCAATTCCAAGCCATGGATAATTTTAAAAAATCAAGTGGCAAGTAGTAACTCCACCCATTTTGGCTCTCCTGTGGGCCAAATCAGTCTTAAATGAATGCCTCAAGTTGTACGTAAAACATCGGCGCAGAGGAGACAAAGACGGATGCACGTGGCGCCGGCGTTTACAGATCTTGCGCCTACAATTTGTCGAACAATCTACGAGGCTATGCGGGGAATCTGTCTTTGTGGGTGTGTACGAGCCGTCGGGAGTATCGCCACACTGTGGTTCGTGTTGTCGCGTAGGAGGTCGGAGCCCAGAAGAGGTCGTGAAGAAATACCTGCAAAAGTTGAAGAACCCTCCGGATGAGGTGACTGTGAGGCACACGAAACATATTTCTCTTTTCCACTGTGTCACCGGGCCGTTCCAGGACTGCGTTGAGCCAGCCTGGAACAGCTCCGGTAACGCCAGGTTGTTTTTCCACCGCATAAGCCGAGCTGTGCCGCTGACGTCACCATGCATTGGGCGAAATCGAGACGCGTTAAGATGTAGATGGCGTGGTGACGCTGTGCCCTGACGGTTTTTCTGACTGGTCATCACGTGCAGTGCATGTATAAATTAGCCCCGCCCCTGGCCCTGCTTGGCACCAAGCCGGACTCAGATGTCGACGGTATCGCAGCTTGGGTCGGACTCAGCAAGGCAAACGGTAGCAGAAGGCCGCCGGTACCGTGAGAGCCGCCCACCGGCACGGCTCAGATGTGCCAGTGGAAAAAAAGAGAAGTACCTCGCGCCAGTTCATGAAAGCCAAACTTGACGGTCGCCGCCAATCGTGGCACCGGCGCTCCCGCGTCGTGGTGTCGCCGAACACACGTGCGACGGTGACCCCTGACCCCTCCACTTCCCCCCCCCCCCCCGCCCCACTCCCACTCCTGCTAACCCCGCGCGTCCCAGGACTGCACCATCTGCATGGAGCGGCTGAACGTGCCGTCGGGCTACGACGGGATGTGCAGCCACGGCAGCGTCAAGTCGGAGGCGGTGGGCCGCTTGGGGAAGTGCGGCCACGCGTTCCACGCGCTCTGCATGCTCGCCATGTACGCCAATGGCAACAAGGTGAGGAGTGCGGAGAGAGTGCTCTCCGTCGCCGCGGGCACTAACAAAGGAGCATAAATCATCACGCGAGCTCCAGTCATCCTCGCTAGCGGTGGCGCTTTTCGGATGCGCTTCTGCGGCTGTCTGGAACGCTCTTCCTTCCGATATTGGGAAGCCACTGGAGCCGTGCACTTTTAAATAATCTACATTTAAAACGCATTTCTTTAGAACTGCTTTTTGTGTTTAGGTTGTTCTTCGCCCACACCTCCGATGAGCACGTTTGGCTACATATAGTGCGAAAGAAGTTCAACATTCATACCTACAGTACCCACCGCCACCACTGGGCTCTCTGAAAATGGAAAAGTATAAAAACTAAACTATTTTAATTTAATTAGGTAAGGCCCACTGAGATTTAAAGCTCGTTTTCAGGCGCGGCCTGGCCACAAATGAGAGCCCAACAAAGTGGCTTATTGCGTGGAAATTCATCGCAGTCAAATACTCTGAACGCATGTTGATAAAAAAAAATGTGGAAAGAAAAACCGGAGGACCCGGAGAAAAATCATTGACAGGATCGAAACCACGACCTGCTGCATACCAGGCGAGCGATTTAACAACGCGCTGCATGTGAAGAATGTGAAGAATGTTTGCAGGTGAGACGGAAAGTGTGTTGCCGCTCACTGCCTTGATTAGCTCCGAGGATGTAGCCCTGGATTCAAGGCAAAATCTGCCATAATTCAAATACCTCACCTGGAGAATTCCACGATGGAACGGCTCGTTTGTGAGGCTGTTTACGGTGTTGATCGACCTACACGTAGCAAACACATATAACGAAACGATAACACGCATTTTTTTAAAAATCTACAACTTATACGGCACGCACTTACACTGTGAATTCGTTTGTCACGTGTGTAGCAAACGCCACCAGGCTCGATTACTGAAAAAATTGCCATTTCCGAATGTTAAGCTTTCTTGTTTTTCAGAGACATACTCGTTCATGACGGCGATGGGCAAAGTGTATTATGGCAAATCGCCTGATGAAGCTGGTTGTAATCACCAGCGAAACGCCGTACTCAATTGTAAATGCTGTGAGTTTACTCGCCATCAAACGGATGTGCTGAAGCAATAGCCAATTGGCAAGTTGTGCTCACGTGACAAACCTTCCTAATTGGCTGTGTCGGGTGGTGGTGGTGGTGGTGGTTTAACAACACGTATATTTTCCCGCGATCTGAAATAATTCATATTCTTGGTTCTTTCGGTAAAGTCACGTAGATAGAAAAGAAAAATAACAAAATTAAATAAAAATGACAAATTTAAAATAAAAATGAATTGAAAATAATAAAAGCAAAAAAAACCCCACGACGTTTCAATCGCAACACAAGCGGCCTTCTTTCGGCGTGACTTTACCGAAAGAACCAAGCACATGAACAATATTGTTCGCGAAAGCCCCACGCGTTTAAATTGCATCCCCCCCCCCTCCCCACCTCCCCTGCGGTTTATGCACCCGCAAACCGAACACGCGTGCTCTGATCCGCAACTCGCGAGTCACGGAGCAACGAGGGCCGAGGCCGCGTTTGTTCCCCCACTGCGACAGGACGGCAGCCTGCAGTGCCCGACGTGCAAGACGATCTACGGCGAGAAGACGGGCACGCAGCCGCCGGGCAAGATGGAGTATCACGTCATCCCGTACTCGCTGCCCGGATACTCCGACTGCAAGACGATCCGCATCATCTACGACATCCCACCCGGCATGCAGGTTCGTGAGCGGCGCAGCACGCATCAACGCCGCCTCCCACGCGTCCCCGGTTAGCATCTGACCGGAGCGCGCTCGTCGTCATCGTCGTTAACCGCTGGATGGTCTTCCCCCAAAGCCGTTGCCATCTCTCACGATCTCACAATACAAACGATCCATCACCTCGCCTCTGAAACGCGAGGTGATTTCGTCACTCCCACCTCCACGGTGGTGGATTTTCTTCTTTGGGAATATGTCCCCCCCCCCGCCCCGCCCCGGCTGCCATTCCGTTTGTGAGTCTCGACCACCCGCCGCAATCCTTTCTCGACGATGCGTCCTGCCCAATCCCAGGACTGAACCATTCTTGTTTCCTCCCGCAAGTCAAATCGCACTGAATGAGCACCCAATACAGAATATAAACATCGGCAGTGTGGTTACGGTGGTGGCCGGGCATGTGCCACTGGCCACGCCCACTCCCCCTGCGCTCTTGCAACTTTCATAGGCGCCAGCTAACAGCACTTTACCCCAACAGTATGATAAAGGCTGCACGGGGATATTTGTCTTTGTGCGTGTTTGCCTGTGTGTACGTGCGCGAGCCTTGGACGCTTCACGTGGCCTCACAGCGCATCTAACCTGGCACAATTGCTGTGGCGACATCACCGCCACTTAAGTGGCGAATGTCACCGTCGTCGCTGCGAATGCGCATTCGCAGTGAAAGCGTTTGTCGTTGTGCGAAGCAGGGCAGTGCGAGTGCTGATCGCGCGAGCGACCCTGTTCACCCGCAGGGCCCCGAGCACCCCAACCCCGGGAAGAAGTTCACGGCTCGCGGGTTCCCTCGCCACTGCTACCTGCCCGACAATGAGACGGGCCGCAAGGTGAGGAGTCGCCCCCGCTCTCTCTCTCTCTCTCTCCCTCCCTCTCTCCCTCGGCTCCTCGTGACTGCATTTTACGGGACCCTAAATATGAAGGTGAATTGCGAACGACGGCCGCTTTGGCGTTGTTAGTGTCGCCGCGCTACTTCGCATAACGTCGTTACCCTATGATTGTGTATTTACGCTCGATTAATATTAAAGGGGCGTGATTTTGGTGGGGTTGTTTTAGTCTTTTTTTTTAGGTGGTTATCTGGCTCGGCGAATCGGAACGCTGTCAGTTTAACACGTTGGCTTTCGCGACCGATATTATCCGTAATAAAGGAGGTTTTTCCGGGGTTAAATCACGTAAATATAAATGTTGTCCTTAAACCCGCCAGCACCCGGCACAGCCGATTAGTAAGGTTTGTCATGTAAAACAAACAGTGCCAAAACGTTACTACTACAGCACTCGAGTACGACGTTTCGCCAGTGATTACAACCAGCATCACCACAACTCTGGCTGTCGCCTAATTATGCCAGTTGGAATTATTACCAGCGAAACGTAACCGCACTCGACACTGTAAATGTTGTGGGTTTTACTCTCTAACACATAACCGGTGTGTGCTGAACTAATAAAAAATTGGCATGTTTTGTTTAAGTGACAAACCTCACTCGTCGGCTGTGTCGGGTGGTGGCAGGTTTCACGGCACAATTATATTAACGCGATCTAACCGAAAAAAAGCTCTATTATGGAACACTGTACCAGGACCGTAAACTTCGGTTTGAGCCTGGTTTCCGGCTGCCCTTGGTTAAACTGGGTTTTTATCCGAGTGTAGCGAGTTGACGGGTCTCAGCGACCATTAATTGACTGCATTAAATAAAACCCAGTGTGTTCAATCAATTTGCCAAAATCCCTAACTCTGAATAAATTAAAAGAAAATCCAGTTTGACTGCCAAGCGATGAAGCGCCATGCCAGGAAGTTCGTTGCCCCCCCCCCTCCTCTATGGTGTGTGCCGGATAAGGATTCAACTGAAGGGATCTCAGAAAGAGATTCTATGATATCTCATTCCATGGACCGTTTTCTCACGGGGCGATTTGCTCTGCAAGAGCCATGGGTGGAGCGGCACTTTGGTCCCTCACGAGGTGACAACATTCGAAATAAAATAAGAAAATAAACATTGGGTGGAAGAGACGAAACGATCAATACTTATCTTTTCAAAAGTAAATGTTTTTACTTGTTTGAGCGATGCAATGGAGCCTTGTAAATGACTCGTTTTACTTCAGCAGGATGCTGTGTGGCGCTTTATTACTAAAGTGGATTTTATTTTCCCCTGCAGAGAGATATCGCTGTGTCTCAGCGGGCTCCTAAATGTGTACAGCCTACAGCCAGATCTGCTGCACATAATAATAGCCAATAACATGTAGACGCTTAATGTAAATCTACAGCGTGTTTGACGAGGACCTCGCTGTGCCATGTGAGCCGTGACTGGTTCTTACCATACTTCATTTTTATCTTACCAGGTAAGGCCCACTGAGCTAGCTTCACAACGTGGCTTATCACGTGGGAATGTATAGCGGCCAAATGCTCGTAAAACGCGTGACGTTCACTATAAGTGCGGCGGAAAGGAGCCGGAGAAAAATCCACGCGACCACGGGGAGAGAGATCACCGCAAACTCCAAATATACAGCAGCAGCAGCAGGCGTCAGGGTCGGGATCGAACCCGTGACCTCCTGCACACCAGCCGAGGTAGTTAACATCTCCTGGCCACCGTGGCGCTCCACGTCGGTCATTGTGGCCTGGCAATCGCAGACGTGGACACCGTAGAAGTACATTGCAGCAACGTTTGTCTACCGACCACCCACCAAGTAGTTCCCTCCGCCATTTGAAACCCCACTCCCTGGGGTTCATGCGACACAGCTGTCGTGTGGGTTGTATCGCCTTTTGTTGTCTGACCTCAAAGTTGGACGTTTCGCTGCATGTCCCGAGAGACTCCTTCGGGAACTCTAATAAGGGAACTTAATCGAAAAAAAATCTCTATGCACCTGGAGCGGAAACGTCGGACATCGGAGAGCCCCGAGGTCCGATGAGACCGGAGCGCGTCGTTCCCCCGAGGGGTGCCGCTAACAGCGCGTCACGAGGCGGTGCGTCTCCCCCCCTCCCCCCACCACCACTGCCCCCCCCCCCCTCCTCCGCAGGCGCTGAGGCTGCTGATCGTGGCGTGGGAGCGACGGCTCATCTTCACGGTGGGCACGTCGAGCACCACGGGCGAGTCGGACACCGTCGTGTGGAACGAGATCCACCACAAGACGGAGTTCGGCTCCAACGTGACAGGCCACGGATTCCCCGACCCCAACTACCTGGAGAACGTGCAGGCCGAGCTGGCCGCGCAGGGCGTCACCGAGGCCAGCCTCGTGGACTGAACCCACTGGGCCCACCGAGCCAGCGAAAAGGGGGGGTGGGGGGGGGGTGGTGGTCGGAGCGCGGTGGTCCGGTTGGCGACGAGGGGAGGAGGGGGTTGGGGGTGCAGGGGGGGGGGAGGGGCGCGTCGCAACTCATGCGCTCGGGATGCCGGATGGCTCCTGTGGAACCGAAGGGTGCGGGGCGGGGGGTAAACGATGCTCTTCCGTGCACGAGCCTCTGCTCGAGCGCCTGTCGCGCGCCTCTTTTGTGCGCGCAGAGGATTGTCGCCCGTCGAGAATCCGCCCGCCAAAGCATTGCCCGCGCGGTGGAGGACGAGGAGGAGGAGAGCGAGCGAGCGTGATGGTTTCTCGCAAAGGAGGCCCGCATGTGCAGGCGTGGCACTGCGGGACCTCCCGCGTTGCGATGCGACATCTGGGACGCTATGCTCGCAGAAGCTGAAGTTTTTAAGATTATGATGTGCCATACTAACACAGTAAGTATTCGCCCGGGTAGGCTAAGGCCTCAAAATTTGCGTGTCCAGATACCTGATTTGAGCGTGTCAATTTTTTTCCCCGTCTGAGTTTGGCTTTCGTTATCGCGAGGTGACTATTTCTTTTTATCCCAGCTATATCTACAACATTATTGTAGCACAACGACAACAACTTGCATCTGCACTGCGCCCATATCGTAACAAATGTCTCCGTGCGCATTACAACACTACACTGCAAGATTACACCAATTCCGATCACGCTGTGGTGGTGGTCAATAAAAATAAACAAGGTACTTTATCCAGCGGTAGAGTTCATTAAAGATACTTTTCCAGATGGAGGGACATGGCAGTGAGATCCCCCTCCATCGACAGCGTGAACACCGCGCTCCGTGGCTTCTTCACCTCCGATTGGCACGGCGCGAAAGGGAGACGTTCCACCACACATCTGGGTAAAACGTCGTGCAGGAAACACACGGACGAGCAGCGGATGCACGGTGGCTCCTTCTTGCCTTTTTTTTCGGTTGCTTTGCCCCGTAGCACCTGTGCATCTTGCCCGCGCGATGTAGAAAGTCCACCGAGCGTCTGTGCATCGGCAACGCGGGGGTTGTTTTGCACTCGTTTTGAAGAAGAAGAAGAAGAAAAAAAGCAAAAAAAAAACATTCCGCATTCAGTTTTCCTTTTCTTTCCTTTGCTGTCACGTGACAATGTGTCGCGTGATAAAAAAAATGACAAAAAAACTTTTGGTGGAGGATAGAAATTCTGAGTTGGCGGAAGCTCTTAAAAATTAGACTTTTCTAAACGAGGAAAACTTAACGAAAAGATGATACTCGTACAGTATGCCGAAGCCTAACCCCTGTATATATTTTTGTTCTATGCTCTGTAATATATCTTTAAGAAATGTGACAATTTACACTTGTCTATCGGTATTATTTGACGTAGGTGCCAACAACTGTACAAGAGAGAGGGTCTGTGCAGTTTCCCCAGGAGGTTGTGCGTGATGCATCGTAAGCAAGTGTCCGCTCGTAGCCGGAACGTACAAGTTAAGACGGATACATTCAGGAATTGGTAAATGGTGGGAACACTGCAGAACACTTGACTCTCACTGGGCGGTCCGATTTAACACGCGCTTGTCTACGTACGATGCAAAAGAAGTTCAACATACATCATACATACGTACCATGCCCAAAAATGTTGCCATATTTATTCATGGCCAATCCATTGGTGCACCCCCCCCTGTCCTTCCCATTCCACTGTTTCACTCCAGCATTTAGCATCCATATACTAGTGCCAAAGTTTAAATGAATAAACTATTTTTAAATTATCGAACGTTCTTTAAACAAAAAACTAAGAAACATATATATGGCTCACGGGAAGCGGTAAGCATTTGAAATCGCTGCGACGTAAAATATAAGAGTTTGAGGGCGGTGGGGGGGACGGAAACATTTCTTTTGAAGCTAATTAAAAATGCAGCTGACGTTTATTGAAATGCCCCTTCACCTACGTCCACGTGGAGTTTCACTTCGATTCCCCCGAGAACGTCACGTCCAGCGTCCACGCCGCTCCCTGATAACTTAGCGGCTAGATTATATTTCTTTGCATTTGACCTTTCTTTTTTGTATTTCAGGGATTGTTAACGTGCCAAGCGTCATTTGCTCAGATTTCATTCGAAGCCATGGCTCGCCACGCAGCATGAGTTTTAAGTGAAGCATTGCGAGTCTGGATGCATTCGCGTTAGCCATTCGCTGCCACGCGTGTCACGATGCGACGCACCGTGACACGCGTGGTGCGAGCCGCGGCGATGATCAGCGCTGCCCGCGAACCCCTTGCACATTAATCCGTGGGCCCCCACAGTGCCGAGGCGAAGTCTCCGCCGAGACATCGGGTCCCCCTCCCCCGGGCTGTTCGATGTGCACTACAGCAGCGGTGCCAGAGCTGGGGGGGGTTCGTAGTTGATAGACGTACGGCATGTAACACGCCCAAATCACGTCGATAGTGGGATTCAGCGGGAGGTCCTGTGGCCGTTGCAAAAAAAAAAAATCACTTGTGACAGCCTGTCAAAATTTAACTCGCACTGAGTAATATCGCTTAATTATACAGTGCAGCAAGACTTACTTTGATGGACTAGTGCACTGCCCTCGCCTGACTGACAAGGACAGACATCCTATAGCGATGTGGTTTCTTCCATCGATGAAAGCAAATTCTCGGCAGTTTTGTATTATTTTATCAACCCACACCTCCTGGAGTCACACGTCCACACGTTGCTCGCTCGCTTCTGGTCATGATGCAACGTGTGAAAGACAATTGAGAAAAGGATATCCTTAGGACGAAATAGAGGCTTCCAAGGTCCGGGACGCGTTCGCTCGTTCTCTTCCCCGGGCATTCATGCCGCTGGCGTGTTAGCTCTCCCGCGCGAGATGGACGCCCCGATGCTGGGCATGTTGGGTGTTGTGAGACATAGGAAAGCAATTTTAACGCCATAATTACATCAGTCGAATGCATTGAGAGAATTTCCAAGAGGCAGGATGATTTTTTTTTTCTTTTAAAAATCCAATTTTTATGCAGCAGATTGCATTTTTTTTTTGCCCCTCCCGCAATGGCAGTGATGTCCGGGTTTATTTATGTTCAGTCGGCGTGTGTGCGATTTTTGCTTTGCGCGCGAATGTTAAATGTACGCCGAAATCGGTGGCGATGGGGCTAGTGAGAAATGGCAGGCAAAATTTATGGTGTTTTCTTTTTGAATGAGACCAAAGGGGGCATGAACTCCCATTTAATTTCGCTTCTGATCAAGCAAGTCCGGTGTCGTTATTTTTACTTGGATGAAGCCTCCTGTTTCGATCGCCATCCTGCGTGTTGCCAGAGAGAATCTGCACGGCAATTTTCTGGAAGTTGTGGATTCCGGCATGCGGCGTTGCTTCTGGTGGTGGCGGCGGCGGCGGTGGTGGCTGTGATGCTCGCGTGCGGTCGGGGAAGCTATGGCACAGCGGCCAACGCAGCGTGCTGTCTACCCGGCGAGCTGTGTTCGATTTCAACCCGCGGTGACATCATTGGTGAACGATATCAGGACCAGTCCTGCCCCCCCCCCCACTTCAGGTGCAGTGCAAAAAACGTGAGCATCGGGGTAAACAAATCATGCGGTGGGTAATGCTGGCCACAGCCATCCCTCCTGTGGTACTGCTCTGGCCTTAACAGATGCTCGCCAACGGCACCTGCCCCCAACAACCGCACCTCCGATGGCACGGTTGGCTATGTACGGTGGGAAAGAAGTTCAACGTGCATGCGTACAACTCTTAGAGAAGGCTGCACGTTGGCTCCATCGATGGTAGTGAGCGCAGCACTGTTATTACGAAACATTTCCACGTGGTGGCAGTGCTCACTAAGGGTTGAGGCTGGTTGTCAATAGTCATGAGGTCACTGACCTTTATTCCAATTGAACACATTCTTCAATAACACTGTGGCTCTAAAAGGAGAACGTATATAATATGCGACGTTTCGGCCAGTGGTCCCTTCTTGGTTGCACAAAAATCTACTCTGCGCGTTTTATGGGCCATTGCCCAAAAAAAGTCGACCGTTATATATCCTGTGAAGGCCACAGTGTTATTGACGAATATGTTCAATGTCAATAAAGGTTACTGACCAATGTGCCTGTGCTCCGGTGTGTGTCCATCACTGGTCACTCGGGCAAGGCCAGTGCTGAGACGAGCCTCGTCAGAGTAGACTCCCCAAATTCGATGTCGATGGCGCAGTTGGCTTTGGGAAGCAATAGCTACCTTACGTTATCTATGCCATGTTTTGGCCGCATTAGGCAGGGCTCTGGAATCAAGTCAATGTGATAACGCCGGGCAGCAGATGCAGCCGTTGCAAAAGAATAAAGGATGAAAGGTTCACCGTTTTTGTTGCGTGGAAACTCGTTAAATCTGTTGCACGCTCTGTCTACCAGTGTGCGGTGATTATTATATTTTTTATGGTCGCTCGCCACCCCACCTGTTCTCCACCACACTGCTACACTTGCAACCCATGCCACTCTTAGCCATGCCGCTCTCAGCCCTGCCACTCTCAGCCATGCCAGTCTCTGCCATGCCACTCTCAGCCCTGCCACTCTCAGCCCTGCCACTCTCAGCCATGCCACTCTCAGCCATGCCACTCTCAGCCATGCCACTCTCAGCCATGCCACTCTCAGCCATGCCACTCTCAGCCCTGCCACTCTCAGCCCTGCCACTCTCATCCCTGCCACTCTCAGCCATGCCACTCTCAGTCATGCCACTCTCAGCCCTGCCACTCTCAGCCCTGCCACTCTCAGCCCTGCCACTCTCAGCCATGCCACTCTCAGCCATGCCACTCTCAGCCCTGCCACTCTCATCCCTGCCACTCTCAGCCATGCCACTCTCAGTCATGCCACTCTCAGCCCTGCCACTCTCAGCCCTGCCACTCTCAGCCCTGCCACTCTCAGCCATGCCACTCTCAGCCATGCCACTCTCAGCCATGCCACTCTCAGCCCTGCCACTCTCAGCCCTGCCACTCTCTGCCCTGCCACTCTCTGCCCTGCCACTCTCATCCCTGCCACTCTCATCCCTGCCACTCTCAGCC